CTCATTGTAAACCTGACTGAGAGAATTCAATCTATAGAAAAGAAAAGACTAGACACATCACACTTGTTAGTGTTCACTCAAAAAAAATTCCGATTGAAGGCATAATTGTTTATTGTGGTTGTTTTGAAATTACATAGTTTACTATGAATTTCGTAGGAACGGATGAGTTTTACGTTTTTCGGCCGGATATTTAAATATTGATTTCATGGACAATATCAGCTGGCTGGTGAAATCTAACCTAATTTGCATTGATTTTTATGAAAACTTGTCCATGAGGTGAACAGAATTAGTGTAGCTGTTGAACCTATCAACCCACTCCGAGAAACACTTTACTCATTTAAGAATCTGACGGATCCAGTCAGGTTAAATAATTAAATTTACTTAGTGCCATGAGAAGGCCTTCGATAGCGTTGATCGTGAAGTAATTTGGAAATTACTCGAGAACTACGACGTACCCCAAATATTCATCAACCTTACTCAACAGCTGTACGACAACGCCACATGTCAAGTGATCCACAACGGAAAACTCAGTAAGGCGTTTCGAGTAAACACAGGAGTTAGACAAGGGTGCTTATTATCACCAATGATATTTCCAATTGTGGTGGGTTGGATTATGCGTCAGATAGTGAGTGGGAAACGAGAAGACAGGAATATCCTGGACCGACCGATGTGAAGAACCTAGAAGACCTGGATTTCGCGCGTGGATGATTTATGTTTGATGTCACACAAAATCGAAGACTTACAAGCGAAAACCGACAAACTGATCGAAGAAGCAGCCGATGAAGGCAGGACTCCACGTGAACATAGACAAGACGGAGGTTATGAAAATGACCAACCAACCAACAAACAACAACAGCAACATCCAGCGCCAATCACCATCAACTAAAGGGATTTGAAAAGGGGTTACTTCATTCACTTAACCAGGGAGCATTGTCTCAAACTACAGGAGGAGCGGACGAGGATGTCAAATCGAGCGAGAATCGGAAAGGCGAGAAACACATTTATCAGCCTGAAACAACCAATCTGGAAATCTTCGTCACTCAGCATCACCAACAAAATTCGGATTTTCAATACAAACGTAAAGTCAGTTCTTCTATACGGATCAGAAACTTGGCGGGCGGGTCACAAAGAATATTTCCAACAGCCTGTTGCAGACCTTTATTGACAACTGTCCCTGCTCTATACTGAAGATCAGATGGCCGGAAAGAACCACCAACAAGGAATTATGGGAACAAACAAAGCAAGAACCAATCGCCCAACAAATATGCAGGAGAAAGTGGAGATGGATTGGACTTTCGCTGAGGAGACCGCTGGGTGACATCGCGCGTCAAGCCAATGCTCGACTGGAACCCGAAAGGGAAGCGGCGTGTGGGACGTCAGTGCAAGGGTGACATGGAGAAGATCGTGTGAAGAGGAGTTGAAAGAGTATGGACTAACATGGATGCAGGCGAAAAGTACAGCAGAGGACAGAAGAAAATGGAGACGTGCAGTTGAAGCCCTATGTTCCACTAGGAACCCAAGGGAGCAATAATAATAAATAATAAAGTGCCATGTAAGTACGTCGGTGGCACAGCGGTTAGGAGGCTCACCGACCATGAAAATGGTCCGGCGTTTGGTCTCCGGCCGATGCACTGCTTCACCTCACTAAGCCATAAATAATGCTGGTAAAGAGGAACGGTTGGGCATGAGGCTAGCAACCCCATTCTGTAAAATTAAACACCACTGCCACAGAAACTTCAATCCACTAGCTTGAAGCCCCCTTTGTTCCACTGGGAACGTGAAGGAAGAAAAAATGCTATATAACGACTATCATGTGATCCGCAACAGAAAACCCAATCAGTCACACGTTCGAAGTAAATACAAGAGTAAGACAAAACTGACTGGCTGCCTATTATCGCCGATGATATTCTTAATTATAGTGAACTGGATTATGTCAGATTGTGTGTGGGGAGAGGGAAGACAGGAGTACACTGGATTTACCAGAAGCTACTAAAAGATCTGGATTTATGTCTGATTTCATACAAACTCGAGTAGTAATATGCGAAAACCAACAAGCTAGCTGAAGGTGCAACAAAGACACGAATTCATGCGAATGCAGAGAAGACAGAGGTGATGAAGATAACTAACGAAGAACAACAACAAGAGAAGCACCAATCACTGCCTACAGGAGAAATTGGAAACGGTTTACTTGCCCCATTTGTCTATACAGAATCGTCTCAACTGCAGTCGACAACACTGATACACATGGCAAAACTCGTCAGAATTAGAAAAAGACAAGGTAGACTTCCGTCATTCTGAAATCAGTTTGAAAATCTGCTACATTCCGCATAACAAGCAAAGTTCCGATTTCCAACACAAACGTTAAGTTAGTTACTGCTTCTATGGGTCAGTAAAGTGGCTGGCGCATCACGATAAGCGTTTTCAACAGGCTATTGCAGACTTAATCAACAGATTTCTCCACTGGCTCCTTATTGAAGATCAAATGGCTAGTCAGAAGGAATTAATAGCAAGAAACTCTATCCGGGAGCGAACTAAAAGGTGAGAGCCGATCGCCCAACAAATATGGGAGAGAAAACGGAGATGTATCGAGCATGCATTGGGGAGGCTGTCGAATGACATCACACCCTCAGTGCAGGTGATTATTCGAGTGGGACCCGAATGGGGACCGACTAGCTGGGCATGCATCATATGGGGGTGTCGTGCGAGAAGGAGATGAGTGACTCTCTGCAAACGTGGGGCCAGACGAATAGGACCTGGGAGGATAGGACGAAGTTGAGATGTGTTGGTGAACCCCTATGTTCCAGTCGGAACTCAAGGGAACAATAATAATGCATCTAACGACTGTGAGATCAGATATATGGATTAAACTAGCTGAATCAGAGTCGATTAGGTCAATCAGCATATAAGAACTTAGCTGGATCTACAATGATTGATTCTGCTTGGTTAAGTAATCTGAAAACAAAGTTAACCAATACCTTGCGATCACGCAATAGGGTGGGACAGTGTTAAAGCATTAAAAAGTCATATAGTTAGGTGAAAGGAAAGATTAATCATTGAGTCTTTGTCTTATAGTGTTATATACCAACATCAACCAGTGTATTGCTTACTAGCCAGATAATCGAACTGATCTGAACACTGAACTGCTGCATCTCTCATTCGGGGTTGAGTTCATTAGCGATGTACTCTGTTCGATTCATCTCAGAGAGCCGAATCTGCCCGAACCACTCGAATTATGCAATTTTCGAGTTGTGATTTCGATTCTATGTATTATCATTTCGCTTAAGCAGCTACTCAGAATTATGGTACATAGCAGATTGACCTTTATTCAGATGACCGAAGTGGCCCTCTGGCGTTTGGATCATTTCTATTTAGTAGTGTCCAATTACTTATATCATTCAGTTAGGAGTATTATTATTGTTTCCTGTAATTCCTAGAGGAACATATGGTTTTAGTCGCACGTCTCCATTGCGTTCGATTCTCTGTCAAAGGTTTCACCTGACTTCACGTCTGCCTACATACTTTCATCTCCCCTTCGCATCATATTCTCCTCCATGTCACCCTCGAACTGGCGACGACCGATTCGTCGCCTTCCACTCGGGTTCCACTGAAGAAATGGCCTGACGTGTGATGTCACCTGATGGTTGAGTGAAGTCAGTTGTTGATGAAGGTCTGTAGTTTGTTCAAAGTACCCTTCGTGACACGAAGCCAAGTCTCTGACTTCACATTGGAGTTGAAAATCCGGATCTTATTTTTGAAGATGAGTGCTGTTGACCTCCACACAGACTTAAGAGTAATGAAAGCTTGTCTTGCTTTTCCGATTCTGGCTTTGATATCCTTGTCGGTTCCGCCTGTAGTTGAGACGATGCTTCCCAAGTGGGGTAGGTACAGGAGGTTGTTTCTTTCAGGTTTCTCCCATGTATGCTGGCTGAATGTTGTCTGTTGTTGTTGTTGCTGTTGGCCAGGAACCTTCATCAGCTTTTTTTTCTCTATTTACTCTTGAAGGCCTATCTTTGATGCTTCTTCTATCTCCAACTTGTTGCTTTTTACTTGGATATCTTCCAGTTTGTGGGAAATCAGATATACGTCATCGGCGAAATCCACATCCTCCAAGCTTTTGTGTAGGTCGATTTTATGCCTGTCTCTTTGCTGCTCACTGTGTGCCTGTCGCATTATTCAGTCAACCACCCGTAATCAAGAAAATCATTGGGAATAGTAGGCAGACAGCTTGTCTTACTCCCGTTTTCACTTCGAAGGACTCCATGAATTTCGCGTTGTGGATTACTTGGCATGTAGCATTGTCGTACAACAGCCAGACGTATATGCCATCTTAAATTAATAATTGATTCTCTGATTGTCATTTTTAGTTTGAAGAAATGATAGTGAAATTTCACCTCGAGTTGTGCAGTCGAAAAACTGACAGTGTGTTTCCGCCATATCTCAACATAATATATATGTATATATATTATATATAAAGTAACATATAGTAGTAATAATACTAATACATATATATATACATGTATATATATTAGTATTATTACTATTTCCTTGGGTTCTGAATGGAACATAGAGCTTCAGCAACAAATCTTTATTTTGTCCTATTGTCTACTGTCCTCTTTAGTTGACTACACGTTCGACTATGGTCTGTCATTTCCTCCTCACTACACGATCTCCACCATATCACTCTCGATCGTCCAACTCGTCATTTCCCATTTGACGTTCATTTGAGCGATGACCTGGCTGGCGTACGATGTCATTCAGCAGTCTGTTGAGAATATGCCCAATCAATCCATCTCCAGTTTCTCCTACATATTTGTTGAGCAGTCAGTTCTCGCTTGTTGGTTTGCTCCTATAGTTCCTTTCTGGCTGGCCATTCAATCTTCAAAACAAGTTCTGTTATCAAAGCGTTAAATGTTTGCATTGTACGTATTATGCAATGAACACAAGTATTACTATTGCTATTTGTTAATATTATTTGTAATATCATTTATCTATTATTTCAGAAATCCACTTGAAATCTGCTAATAAGTTATTTATGAAGCAGTTTTGTAATCACTCAGGTATGTGTGTGTGTGCCAGTAATTGATACGGAGTTCGTGTTCACATATTAATCAATTCTTTTTGTTAATAATAATAATAATAATAATAGCAGCTTTATTAGGGACATGTGTTCTAGGTAGTGGTCATCCATCTACCCGGGTTTCGAACCCAGGACTTCTTAGTTTCAGGGCAAGCTTATATACCATTACGTCATTGGGACCAGACTCACTGGCCAGTCCATGAGTTCTTACTTCTATCAGTTTTTTTGATTTTAGGACAACCACCAACCAATGTCATTGGGTGAGTATTTGTCCTCATATCCTACCTAGTGGACCCTGCTTGTAAGGAGTTCTCACTAGAACTCCAGTCAACTTTGTCCTTTGAGGGATTAGATATTTAGAAAAAAAAACAAAAAACGTGAGCAAAGAATATCCTTTTCAATAATTTTCTCTTCTTGCTCTGCAATAATATGCGTATATGTTTATATACACAAAACATTCTAGAATAATCGTCATTGAAAATATTGGTGTTTTTAAATAACAAATCGATAGTTTCTAGAATATTCTATGTATATAAACATATATACATATATAATTGTAGAGCCAGAAGAGGAAATTATCGACAAGTAGATTCTTTGCTGAACTATTTTGATTTTTCTAAATGTCTAAATGAATACTTTCGGTATACTGAAATGTTTTGAGCAACATTTTTCTGATTCGTCTACCTTCCTGTTAGAAGGTAGGGCCTCAAGCTTTGAGACTTCAGTTGCGATGGCATTATTTATGCTGTGTTGAATCGCTGGCTCCATGCCCAGCCTCGCCTATTAACTGAACATGCTGTGGGCTTAGCGAGTGCTCTGAGCGGGAACCGAAACCCGGACCACGTGTGTGGTTGGCGATCATTCTACCACTGAACCACTGATGACCCTATCTAAAAGTCAAGATGCGGGAGATTGAGCCTGAGACATCTGGCATGCGAAGTGAACACTCGATCACTCAGCAACATCCCCACTTGCTAGATATGTCGAAGTTTCAAGTAACTTACCTCTTTAATATCGGTCAGTTCACGTAGAATCGATGATAGCTCAATCTTAGACGAGTTAGTTAGCCATTGGGCATTTTGAATAGCCTGACTAGGTGGATAGCCTTACTGACTGATATGACTGATTACCAGCTATTTAAGTCAGTCATTGTCATTTTGTCTGTTACTTATTGTGCCAAGCATGTCATCTGCATATTCATAGTATAACTAATTATTATTATTATTATTACTTTGAGTTCCGAGTAAAACTTCAGGCTTCAACAACACATCTCCACTTTCTTCTATTTTCTGCCATCCACTTCATCTGCGTCCACGATTGCCCATAATCTCTCAGCTCTTAGTCCTCCAACTTACACGATCTCTTCCATGTCACCATTGCACCGATGACCCACTCGACCCACTTCCCATTGGTGTTCCACTCGACGGCCTAGCGCACGATATCATTCAACGACCTGCTCACCGTATGCCCAATCAATCCAAATTCCATTTCTCTTACATATTTGTTGAGCGATTGCCTCTTGGTTAGTTTGTCACCAGCTGGAGTCTTTTGTTACCAATTCTTTCTGTCCATTTAATCTTCATTATGACATTGACATCTTCATCCGTCACTTCCGCCCGTGGTTGAAACGATGCTGGCTGACTAGATAGGGGAAGCCAGGAAGTAACCTTTGTCATATCTCTCCCTATGATGGCGATTGTTACTGTTTGTTGTTCTTCTTGTTGGTTGGTTGCTTATCTTCATCCCTTACTCGTTCTCTGGAGTTCATCTGGAGTCCTGTCTTCGCTGTCTGCCAGCATGTTTAGCAAGCTTTTTGGCTTTCACCTGCAAGTCTTCAAGTTTATGCGACATTAAACCTATATCATCCACGCGTGAAATCCAGATCTTCTAGAATTTGCTTATTGGTGGTCCAACATACTCCTATCCTCTCACTCCACATGCACAGTCTGACGCATAATGCAGTCCACAACAATTAAGAATATCATCGGTGATAATAGGCAGCCAGCCTTGCCTTTCTCCTGTATTCACTTCGAACGCTTCGCTGAGTTTTCCGTTGTGGATCGCCAGGCACCTACCTGGCTTTGTCATAAAACAGTTGAATGAAGTTGACAAAGACTTGAGGTACGCCGTAGTGTTGCAGTAGTTTTCAAATTACGTCTCAGTCAATGCTGTCTGTCGAAGGCCTTTTCAAAGTCGACGAAGTTGAGGTAGAGATTTGACTGCCATTCTATGCTTTGTTCGATGACGACACGTACAGTTGCAATTTGATCACCACACTGTTTGCCTTTCCTGAATCCAGTTTGTTCCGGTAAGCTGGAGGGGTCCTCTGTCCAGTAGCAGCCTTTCCAGCCAGCTTCCTACATTGTATGGATATTCCACGTCCCCATTCTCATTCTTGTTTTCATCGAGAGAAGACACATTGGCTGACTGGCTTCCCGAAGCTTGGATTTCACCAGCTTGCTGTGTCATTTCTCCTCTCCGACTCGAGAGAAGAATAAGATAGCTATTTGAAGTTTTTGTATTTTTAATATATTTTCTGTGCGTTAAAGTTTCTCTGTAGGTTTGATAGGTTTAGTGGTGTGGGGTTGCTAGCACCCCCCTAAACATCCCTCTTTACCCTGGCTTGGGGCCGGCTAGAAATCTAGCGAGCTGGTAAACTTGGCTAGTTCCATAATATAAATGTTAAAGGCGAATTTTCACTTCAAATAACCCACTGTATTTCCAGAATAATTTGGAATCTTTTTTTCTTGATCATTAATTTAGGTTTGAATGGTCAATGTTCATTCAATAATTCAATAGAATATCATGATTTATCTATTCAGTGTTCTTATAATGGTACTATGAAACAATTTTAGTAAGTTTCCCAATAACAAACAAATTGTAATTGAATAAACACTAATACACAGCAAATGAAAATGGATCGATACCACGCTCACGGTCAAGCGAAATAACCTTGAGTAACCAATCAAAATCGCCTATCATAAAAATGGTATTTGTTATGTAGGAAAGTTTACGGGATATGATTTCAAGTGGATATATGTCTTTTAGATGCTGGGAAAATGTGTCCCGCTTTCTTCTAGGTACTGTTAATGATATATTAAACCACTTTGTGCGCAGGAATTCATTTTAGAAGGTGAACTATCTGATTGATTGATTGTTCCAGGTTATTTTGATGAGTCACTAAGTGTCATATTGATTCTTTATAATTACCGAATAATCATATTGATTGTGTGATGCTTGAAGATGTTTTTATTGATAACATTTAACATTCTTGTTGTTGTCAATAATGCGGTCCAAGATATACTTCTCGTCGTTTTATGAGCCTAATATATACTTATTGTATACTCCTGAGATATGATATCCACCAATGGGAGTCAAACTCGTGATGCATCACTGGGATCAAATAAAATTGATGTGCCGTTGGTTTCGGTCCCAGTGACTCAATGGTATATGCGTTCGTGCAGTAATCTGAGGGTCCTAGGTTTGATCGCTGATGGGGTTCTGGAGTAGTTGTGTACTGATGAAAAGTCTCCTGAAGAAGGGCGAAACATCCCATACTTTCAGAGGAGAGAAAAAGATATTTCATTGTGAAATTTGCATAACATTCAGTAGTTTAACTCTCCGAACTTCATAAAATCATACCCTAAGCTAGAGAAAAAGCGAAATTCAAAGAAACTATAACAAACAGAAAAAATATGGAGAAGATTTGTGACTCAGATGGATGATTTTGATGTAGTTGTGTTCTCCGAGCTAGCTGGATGGTTTATTTGCGAAGCTTTCATTGCCCCACTAGAATGTCAACCACTCCCTCACTCATATCGCTGTATACAGATAACCACGGACATCAATTCGACTGGAATAACGTTCAAGTATTAGTCAGAGGAAACACCAAGAATGCTGGGGAATTTTGAGAAGCGTGTCTGGTGTTCCAGTGAATCTTCAGTCAATAGATACATTGATATAGACAAAATTTATCCATCGATAAGAAGGAAATTTAATACAAAAAGGGTCATACTTCAGGTCAAGGAAACAATCAGTAGCAATACAAGTAGAGAATTCTAAAATCTGACTACAAATTGAAGTGTACGCTAATGATTTTGACTAGTAGGGCAATGAAAGTTCCGTAAATGAACCATCCAGCTCAGAGAACACAACTACATCAAAAACGGAAAAGTACAGTGGAAACAGAGTGACTGCATCAACAGCACTGCTAATATAAACTCATTAGTAGATAAAATCACTCAGTGTTTGATAGGATCCCACATATTTTGGTATTGACTGTTTAATCTTGCATATATGGTATGTTATCATTCTCACACATTTTGGTAGTGACTGCTAATCTTGTATATATGGTATATTATCATTCCCACACATTTTGTTACTGACTGTCAACCTCGCACATATGGTATATTATCATCTCTCACGCACTTTGTTATTGGCTATTAAGATAAATTATTTCAAATCCTGTTAGCTGTCCATATTGTTGTAAAATGTATAAATACCATGGCTTTCTTTATCGTTGTTGCACTTCAATACACAGTCACAGTCCAGCCTTTGTCTTTTGATATTTGCGTGCTTGACTAAATCGGAAGGTACGACAAGCAGATAGGCAGATTAGTTCAGGCGCAGACAGAGCAAGGTGAAAACGTCTTCATTCAATACCCTACAGTTATAACAGTGTTAATATAGACCAAATTTACCAATTTTTTTTTCCTTCACGTTCCCAGTGGAACATAGGGCTTCAAGCTGAAGGCTTGAAGTTTCTGTAGCAGTGTTTATTTTTACAGGATGGGGTTGCTAGCCTCATGCCCAACCTTTCCTCTTTACCAGCTTTATTTCTGGTTTAGCGAGGTAAAGGAGTGCGTCGGCCGGGGTTCGAACCCCGGACCATGTGCATGGTCGGCGAGCGTCCTAACCGCTATGCCACCGACTAATGAAAGGCAAATCATGTAAGTAGAAAGTACAATATCCAAGTCAATAAAAAAAATGATCAGTACAAATGTAAATCATCTATCAATAACGAAGATGATTACAAGGAGACGCAATCCTACCATTCATGGAAAATTCAAATCAGTTCATTTTATGCTAAAACTTGCGCTGAAGTTGTTGTTCAGACGAGGGACGACGAAATCTTCGCAATTAAACCGCCAACCAGCTCCACAGAGAACACCAATTATTCCAATATCATCCATCTGAGCTACAAATCTTCTCTATTATTTCAATCAATACTATTATACCATCAGGCTATCTTGCTTGCTTTCTTGATTAGTATCAGTTTATTTCATTATAACCTGTTTTATTTGCAAAAATTGCCAATATAGTTGTGAATATGTTTCACTTATTAGGGCAACTAGCTACTTTTCATTGACACGTACAAATAGACATTTTTCTTAAGTTCCATTTTATCGATAAAATCATCTTTCTGACTTCTTTCTTCTGTCTTTTTTTAAAGTGACCGCCAATTAAACTGTCAATGGATTAAACAGAAATACAGACCACCGGTTATTTTACATCGTATTACTGAATCACAAATGGTGATAAGGAAAACAGTCAAAGTTGGGAGTCATTCTATGTCAGAAGCAAATTGGAAGCGCATTTGCCCATTAGGATATTATCGTGAAATGTATATCAATACAACTGAGGTAAGAGTAATATGATGAATATTATTCCCTTGGATTCCCAGTGGAACATACAGCTTCAACAACACATCCCCACTTTCTTCTATCTTCTGCCATCCTCTTCAGCTGGATAGTTCCATGATTCCACATATAATCTCTCATTTCCTCCTCCAACTCACACGATCTCCTCCATGTCACTCTCTCACCAACGACCCATTCGTCGCTTCCTATTGAGACCCCAGTCTAGCAATGCTCTGCATCGAGCGCGATGTTATTCGACAGCCTCCTTGACATATGCCCCATCAGTCCATCTCCAACATATTTTTTGAGCGATTGGCTGTCGCCTGTTGGTTTTTTCTCAGCCAGAGTTTCTTGTTTTTGCTAATTCTTTCTGGCTGTCAGGCTGGCGATTTGATCTTCAGTATAGAGTTAGCGGAAGAGGCTGTTGATGAAGGCCTATAACCTGTTGGAAATCCTTTTCGTTACACGCTGGCAGAGTTTCTGACCTATAAAGAAAGACAGATATAACATGGGTGTTGTAAATCTGAATCTTGTTGTTTTATGCTGGCTGGCTGGCTGGCTGGCTGGCTGAATGCAGATGATTTCCAAGCTGGCTTCAGGTTAATGAAGGCTTATCTCGCCTTTCTGATTTTGGCTGGCTGGTTTCAACATCTTCATCCATTCTGACTACCTGTAGTTGAAACTATGCTTCCTGGCCATATAAGTGAAGTCAGGAAGTAACCTCTGTTAAATCTCTTCCGTTGATGATGATTGGTGCTGGTTTTTGTTGTTGTTGTTTTCGCTGTTCGTTGGTTGGTTATCTTTATCACCTCCGTCTTCTCTATGTTCACCTGGATGAGTCCTGTCTTCACTGACTACCTGCTCCTTAGGTCATCTTTTGGCTTTCGGCTGCAAGTCTTTAAGTTTGTGTGGTATTATACATAAATCATTTGCGAAATCCAGATCTTCTAGAGTCTTCTCATTGGTTAGTGCAGCGTATTCCCGTCTTCTAACTCCCACTTCACTGTCTGACGCATAATCTAGTCCATCAAAGCTAAGAATATCAGCGTTGATAATAGACAGCCTTGTCCTACTCCCCGTATTATCTTCGAAAGCTCTGGGTTTAGCTGAGTTTTCCGTCGTGGATATGGAGTATATAAGAATAATATGGATTGTTTGAATTCGCATGAGTTTTAGGGATTTCGTCTATTAGCTAATTGTCTCTTCATTATTTCTAATAGCTAATTTAATTACATTCTAATTAGATTTTAGATTCGTGATCTGTAATTTACCTAGTTTAAGAATTACTGCTGATTGCCTCTAATCATCTAGTACCAACATTTCAAGTATTAGATTGTCGGAATTTGGTTTGATTGGTTTCAGGATTTCATCATGAGCTCACATCGGTTAGAGAACCATTATGAAACCAACAGAGGTTCTAGACAGCTGTTTCGTCCCATTTCAAGACTGTTCATCCTTACACACCCACCACAGAAGTTGGCAGCCGAAATCTTTGAGTCACAAGGCGAGCTTGTAAGCCATTAAACCAATGGAACCAGATCGAATGTTCAGTCCATGAATTCCAAATTCTCCCAATTCACGATATAGTGTGATCACTAGCGAACGTCTTTGAGTGCATGTATTTGTCCTCACACCCGACCTTCTTCTGCACCCTACTGGTCACGACTTCTCACTAGAACCGTAGGTTATTACCTACCTGAATAGGGCAAATCGCTAGTGAGCATCTCGTTGATATTCAAATGTTGGTTTGTAGGGATTTGATTGATTGGTTACCCTGCACGACCAGTAGGGTGCAGCAGGTCAGGTGTGAAGACAAATACTCGCCGAAGACATTGGATAGCGGTCGGGCTGTGTTTTGAATTGAAAAACGTTGGGATTCATGGACTGGTCATTGGATCGGTCCCACTGGCTGAATGTTCTACAAGCTCACCTTGTAACCAGAAGGTGTGGGGGGTTAGAACCTTGACAGTGGGTGAGTACTGATGAGGAGTCCTAAACTACGCTGACGAAACGGCTGGTTGTCCATTACTCCCAGGTGGTTTTCCAAAGGTTCTCTAAACGATGTCAGCTCATCATGAAATCCTGTAACGAACAAATCACACTGCACCATGATAGCAAGCCAACTAGCCTGTAGGTGTCCACATTGCAAACTTGACTGATAGAATTCAGTCTTTACCAAAGACAGGACTAGACATTACACTATTTACTGATTAGCATTCAGTTAAAAAAGGGAAGTATAGTTACAAGATGTTGTATACTATTTATTGACTGATGTAAGTAATTCAGGCAATTTGAAGTGATTTGGCGAATTCGCCGCACCTCTGGTAAAATATGCTTCAGACGAGCGAAAAAGGCCGTCTGATGTCTAGATCATTTAAATCTGCCCTTGCCAACAAACACTACTGGTTGATGTGAGTTGTCTGCAATTACGCACATTAACCAATCAGTCAATCAGAAGTATTCAGTATCATGAATTTGTACTGGAACGTCTACAACAAACTGCATACTTTCATCAACGGCTGCCTACCTCGCTGCAGTGGATGTCAGAAGGCCAGAAAGGATAATCAATATGAAAATCTGACAGGCAGCGAACCAGTCAAGGACTTATCGATCAAGAAACAATCAGAAGTAAGTGTGGACTGATTGGATACACGCTGAAATGGCAGTTGGATGACGTTACAACGCACACCATCGAGTAGAATCTAGTATTATTCTTCAGTGTTATAAACACTAGTGTAGTTATGCTCTCTAAACTGTGGATGACATATTTGCAAAACCGTCATTGCCTCATTTTAGACGTCTGCAACTCAAGCTTCAATAAAAAAGATGTCTGTTTCTACGAATTGATCACGGATGGATATCAGTTAGACAACCATTGAAAAGCACCCAGGGAGTACTGGACAGCTATTTCATCCTAGTTTGGCAATCATCAGCAGTACTCACCTATTGGGGTTCGAATCCAGCAACTTCCGGTTACAAGGCTAGCGAGCTCGTATACCATTCAGCCACTGGGATCCATTTCAGTGGCAAGCCCATGAATTCTAACTTCTACCAAATCGTGATTTAACGCGATCTTAACTAATGTCGTTGGCGGGACATCCATCCTCACACGTGACTGGGTGGACCTCACTGGTCATAAATTCTCACTAGTGACCGGAAGGTCCTGGATTCAAGCCCCAGTGGGTGAGTACTGCTGATAATTGCCAAACTAGGATGAAACAGCAGCTGTCCAGTACTCCCTGGGGCTGGTTTTCAATAGTTCTCTAACTTTCTTTCTTTCTTTTGATTACAGCTTGATTCCACACTGTATTTTTGGTAGAAGTATGGAATTTTCAGCATGGATATCGGTAGCCCAAATTATGCAGGCCGACCATAGACATCAGGTGTGCGTCGGCGTGTACTCGAACTTCGGACCATAAGCATGGTCGGCGGCGAGAGTCCTAACCACTGTGCCACCGACGCACAACTGATATCAATTCGTGATCAGCTTGTAAAAACAAAACTTACCCTTACAAACCAAACTATAGAAAGTTGTCTGTTTCACCTGATCTACAAGTATTCGCCATCTTTGTAAACATTTTCAGTTAGACAAACTACCTCTGTAATGTTTTTGAATATATAATCATACTTAAATGTCAAGTGTCACAACAATTGATGATATATACAGAAGAATTCATAGGATGTATAGAACTTGGAGGGGAATAAGAAATAATAGGATCACTTGGCGAAAGTTACGTAACATTGTGTGAAATTTGACTACACAGAATTTAATATTGCAATCGAAAGAGGTGATAGCTAAGCATGGGAAAAACATTCACTGACCATTCTCCACTGTCAATTCACCTTCATAACTTTACTGACTTACTTGCACTCTTTGCAGCTTAACACTCTATGCCTAACCTCACTATTACTCATCATATTATGCCACCTAAGACGGCAGATAGAGCTCAAACATCCTTGGTGAAGAATAGCTAGGCTTTTCAGATTTATCACCTACAATGGCCATGTCTGACAACTTTAGAGGAGGACAGGGCAAACTGTTCCGTTGTATACACTTCTTTTGGTCGATAGTCAGGTATCACTTCTACGCTAGAGATGATGTAGGTTGGTAAATAACCCGTGGTAATTTTGTATCCGTGCTGAGATTTCTTCAGCACATAGTCCACTGGGTGTTTGATGTAACTTCCCAAATAAGTTGAGTGGCCAACATGGTCTATCGCTTGGCTGTATATTTTTATGCTAGTAGTCGGTGCATTCCAGTCCTGCAGTACCATCGTATTTATGATAGGAGCAAACCGCAAACCAAACATTCGAAGATTTCTGCTCAAAGTGTTCAGAAGATTCTGCATTTTATTGGCATCTTCACTCTTGGGGTGACATCACCATCCGCACAATGTAGCTCTATATGACTGTACTCCGGCAACAAGTCAATTCCTAAATCGCTGAAGTCAGTGAGGATTTATTCCATCAGTACATGCACGATGATGGTCACCAGTAGTAGTCATCACTTCAGATGACAACTCTCCATAAGCTGTTGCGTGGCTTTTCAGTTCAAGTTGAAAGCCTTAATTCCTGCGACGCACTTTCTCAGCACTCCCTCACGATCAAATACTCCCATAACACTTCTCTGTTTATGGAGTTTAATTCTGCCTTCAGGTCAAGAAATATGGCAATTGTTGGACACCGATAAGTATGCCCAATTTCCGAAATCGGTCACAGGGTGAATGTGTGATTAACACACCCTCTCCTTGACCTAAACCCTAGTTGGTTTTCATGAGTCCTTTCCTCTAGAACACCACATATTCTAAGCATGATTACTAAAGCCAGAAGTTTAGATAGTTAGTATATTAGTCAATCTAATCCCTTTATAATTATCATAAGAAGACTTGTCTCCTTTCTTGTAAACTGGGATAATCAGTGACTTAGAGCAGTCTAAGAGAACGATTCATGATTCCCAGACACTAACTAATATCCTAGTTAACATTGGTCACAGTTCGTTACCA